TGGCCCAGGAAGGCCCAGGAAAGCTCAGAGCTCAAAACCTGTGCAAATCCTCTTCTCCCTATCCTTACATAAACTCCAATATATATCAGAAATGGGTTCTATTAACATGGAAAAGAACATCTGCTCTCCCTCTTACACATCAGTTCCCTATCAGTAAAGAGTAATAATCCACAAGTTTCCTCTTTTTACCTACATAATATATATGAGAAATTAGTACTCTGATGGGCTGCTTAGGAGTGGACAGAACAGACATGCACAATGGAGACAGAGGGCAACAAGCAGTAGACACCTTCTTCATGTTGGTGTAAACCCACATAGTTGGGTTTTATTTTTTGAGAAAACTGGGTTTATTTAGAACAGTAATGCAGTCTCTTGTCCTCTTCCCCACCTCCACTTCCAGTCACTCTGCCTGCTGTAGACATTTCTCCTGATGCATCCCTATAAAATTGGCAATGCTTCTGCCCTTCAGTTATATTCTACTAAAGGCCAAAGGAAACATCACAATAAGCCATTTCCCCAAAGCCAAGTTTAATTCGCTCCATCTGTTTTTCTCTCTCCTACCTCCTATCTCCATAGAGAAGTATCAATTCTAATGAGCCTAGTTGGTTTGGCAGTACAAAGGACACCTCCATACTTCCCCCAAAAAGTAAACCAGATTCCAGTGGAAGCATTTCTCCAAAAGCAAGAACTAAGCTCAGAATTGCACCACTCACCATCTGCTATGAAAAAGCCAATATATCTAGAAGTACTGTGCCACAGCCTTGAGTGACCAGACAAGACCAGGCACAGCTTGCATGCAAACATTCTGCTATATAAGGACATAAATCAATTATCTACACAGACGAGATTGGTATATCTTTCATCCAGTTGGACTCTCAGGCTATATCAGACTATGGGTTTCTTTCGAAAGAAGCTTTTTTCAGAAGAGATCTTCCAAAAAAACTTCTTCTGAAAGAGAGCATCCACACTGCAAAAGAGCATCGAAAAAGCGATCTGCTTTTTCGAAAGAGAGTGTCCAGACTGAATAGACACTTTCTCACATGTAAGCTGAGACTGCTGTGGACGGAATCGCCACCAGGGCACCTGTGCTTTTTCCTCTTTTTCTGAAAGAGCTCCCTCTTCCCTGTCCACACATGCCTTTTTGCGAAAGAGCTCTTTCGCAAAAAGGTTTCTTCCTTGTAAAATGAGGATTACCAAAGCCGGGAAAACCCCTCTGTTCTTTCGATTTTCTTGAGGAAGAATGCAATTGCAGTGTGGACTTTCCTCAAATTGTGTCAGAAAAACAGCCATTTTTGCAACAAAACTCTGTACTGTAGACATACCCTCAGATATTAAAAAGATGAAGAGCATTATATAAGTGCTGAATATTATAGCCTGTATAATCCACGCTTCCAATTTCCATGCCTTGAAATGTGAATTTAGACAACTTCAGCTTTACCCTACTTAACAGGCAAGTTACTTATATGACAGAATAGCTTTCAGTTTCCTGTTAGGGTAACTTTTTCAGATACTTTTCCTGTGTAAAAATGAAAAAGCAAGCTTTCAGCAAAGGTCACACGCTCCCTCACCTTAATTTTCTGTTCATGTTCTGCCAACAGAGACTGGCTTGCTTGCAGCAACTGGATTTGCTGGTTGGCCTCCTGACATTTGCTGTTTTACACAGACATAAGAGATTCATTTACATACAAGAATAACTTGGTGGGAAAAATACACAGAGGCACATAAGAGGCACACACTTATTATTCAAGTACAATTTACCACCTTGATAAAGGACTATTGTGGTGTAAACACAAGAACTGCCCTCCAGGAACCTTCTTTAAGGTTCTGTGACAACTGAGATATTCAGATATGCAGACTAATTTCCTCTATAGCAAAGGCAGAACTACTCTTGTGAAAAATACTGACTGTATTTTATATATATTTTATACCTCTACAGAGATCCTCAAGATAATGTTACCCCATCTCCACGCCAACAAGACATTATGTAATGAGTACATTACATAAAGAGTTATTTAAACCTTGGTCCTAAAAACAATTGTTAGAGCATGGGGCTAAAAGAGGACAATGTAGCAGGAAGATGCACCTTGTTAGATCTTTTAATCACCCCTCAACTACACACAACACAAAAATCAAGTATTAACGTAAATATATATAAGAGAGGTGATAAGCTTGTGTGTTTCTTTTCTAAGGTAGAATTAAATTGCTGCTCAGAGCAAGTCTCCAGCAAATTTTACAACCTACACATGCAGATCAAAGAAGTTCTTTGAAGAGCAAAAATTAAAAGCTGTTGAGCGTTTTTTGAATGATAGCAGCTGCAAAAGACTGAAGATTTGTTTTCTCTGGCAGTAGTTGTTCCCCTACTCACTTGTGTTGCATATCCAGCTGTTCCATCAGTTCCTGTTTCTGAGATTCGTGGCTTGTCATTTGCATCTCCTGATTCATTAAACGCCACTGCAAGTCAGATATTTTCCCTTTCAAGATGCTGATCGTCTAGATTAAGAGAAAGAAGGGGAAGAATAAATGACACACAACTAGACCAATGGTCCTCCAGGATGAACATTCTGGCATGCAAACTACTGAGATCAAACAACTGACTAATGTGAAACACTGAATCTAAAAATAATTCACAATAAGACCTGTAAACCCACCTCAGAACAAAGTCAAAGAAAATTCTTTGCTCTCTTTCATCTGCTGCTCAAACTGACACCTCTTTATCCATTAAGGATATGACCTCAAGTTGATATGCAAAAATCAAGCCTCAAAACCAAAACCAATGCTCACATGAGTGTTTGTCCTACCTTTAATTATCCCACCATCACCACATCCACATGCTTCTAAACAGTGGGGTTTCAAAATAGAGACCCAAAAATTTTCAACCAACCAAGTAACAGCAGAGGTAATTCCTCAGTGGAGGTATACCTACCACGGTGACTGGTACAAGAAACAGATCCAACAGCTAAGATAGTAATCACAGCAGCCTCTGCAGTTACTCCTTTACTAAACTATTAGGCTCAGCTCTCAGTAACTCAGATCCACTCAAAATACGCACACAGAAAACACGCATCAGTACTGTCAAGCCTAAAATAAACCAGTTGCCTGACAAACCTTAAATAGCAAAGCAGAAGAAGGAACATCTCAAATTTGAAGAATAAGCCACACTTGCTAGAATTACCATTATTCACCTGACCCTCACGCCTCACTCCCACCTTTAACATTCTGAAACTTATCAGGTAGCACAGGGGTCAGCAAACTCAGGCTCATGAACCAAATATGGCTCACTAGAAAACCAGATATTGCTCTTCTGGAGCCCCAACTCAGCCCCCTCTAGCCCTCCCCTCCACCCCCCTGCAGCAGAGAGCCAGCGCTGGTGCTACAGCCCTACGGACAGTGTTCCCTCTAAGCTGCAGGCCAGCAGGCAGCATAGCTTCACAGGTGATTGATCAGCCCCAGCCAGAGCCGGGGGCGGGGGGGGGGGCACAAAATTCACTAACCCTGAAACCCCAAGAGTAAATCTGGCCTGAGGCCTTGAATCTCAGCCCTCCCTGATCCTCCCCCCACCATGGAGCTGGAGCATCAGGGGAGTGAGGTGTTTCAGTTGGGGGCCACATCAGTGAGGATTGAGGAGGTTTGGAGCGGTTTTTTTCTTCACTTTTCACTTGTGTGGGTTAGTGGCCCCTGATCAAAAAAGGTTGCCCACTCCTGCCATAAATAAAGACAATGTTGAAACCTTGTATTTTAGACATATTTTACTTTATTTAAAAATGAAGCCTGGCCACAAGCCCCCAATTGTGATCCAGCCCCCATCTGGCTGCAGCGTCATAACATTCCTGTACCCATACACACACACACCAACCCTGAGTCCATCATACACTTGAACCGCCCCCGCATACTACCACATCCCCAGTGCCCTGCAATAACACTCCTGCACCCTTCACACACCCCAAAAACCTGCCCTGAGACCATCATAGACCTGAACTCCCTGCCTTGAGCCCCTCTTACACCCCAACCCAGACTCCTGTACCTGCACTCAAACCTTCATACTCAGCCCCTTCCCAGAACCCTGACCCCATATCCCAACTCCCTGCCACAGCCCTGAGCCCCTTCCCATACCCCAACCTCATGGCCCCACCCCGTCACACACTGTCCACATGCGGAATGATTTTTGTTATGCGATACATCACTCCTATATTGGTGCACATAACAATAGTCACTCTGAACACGGACATACAAAATTAGAGGGAACACTGTCTAGGTAGTTTTTGTTCCTATCAGCTCTTCCAATTCTCCTGCTTGTTTCCGTTACTACCTTTGTTCCTTCTCATCTTATCAATCTTTTCATTAATTTCTCCTTCTCCCCACTTCATGACTTCTATCCCAATTTTCCCCAAGTTTAGAACACTCTCCCTACTCTTGCACTCCAACTGTCTTTCTCCTCCAAATCCACCTGTCTCAATGCCATCTCATTGTTCATCTCCATATTCACCTTTCCAGAACTGTTACCCTATCTCCTTTCCTGTTTAGACAGTAAGCTCTTTATGGCAGGGGACACATATTAACTGTGATTGTTAATCACTGTGTACACTGTGGTTCTAATTGTGGTAACACAAGTGGATAGTTCTGATTCCATATGACCCTCATAGTCACCTAGACAACCAGGTGAAATAAAATAAACCATTACGCTCTTACTTCATTAGCTTCAGTTAGCTTGCTCTCCTTCTCCTGCAGGTTCTTGCTCACAGTCTCCATGCTTTTCTTATAAGATGTATTAATCTCCATTTGTTCCTTCAGCTTAGCCTCAGCCTCCACTTCTTTTTCTTGATAGTGCTTTATGCGCGTGAGGAGCTCCTGGTTACGGTCAGCCTCTCGCTAGGCAAGGGAAAATATAAAGGGACTTCATAAAGAAGAAAGGACCACAATGCTGAAGACATCATCCTTTCCTCATTGCCCCCTATAGTCTCACAGGCAACCCTAACAACAAACACTAATCTCTTAAACCCTCCTCCCCCTGGGTACAGCTAGACTGCGAAGATCTAGCAGAAAAAGATACACAAAATGCACTCCGCATTTTGCGTATCTTTTTCCAATACTTTTGTCGGAAGAGGCTTTTCCAAAATTTGGCCCATCTAGACTGGGCCAAATTTCAAGAAAAAACCCTCTTTCGAAAGCTCCTTTCTTCCTTGTGGAACAAGGAATACAAGGGTTTCTGAAAGAGCACAACTGCTCTTCCGCAAAAAAAAGTGGAAGAGCAAACCCATTCCCTGGACGTAGCGGAGTTTTTTTGGGATACCACTGGTATCCCAGAAAACCCCCGCAGTTTAGACATATTCTGGGAGACCATTATTTGCAGGATGATTCTCAATGACAAGGGAATGAAACAAAGGGTAATGAAGCCAAAGAATTACTAGACAGCACTTTCTGAAGTGATGTATGAACTTAAAACTCAGAGATGGCTTCATGGTTTGCACAGCATAATTTACATGTGCTCAAACATCAATTACACTTACACAAGTTTATTTCACTGAGTCTGGGACCTTAATATCTGGAGTAACAAAATCCGTTTCTCTTTGAAATTTCTATGCGCATTAGAGTATTTTAAATCTAAATATTTTAATCTTAAATAAGTAACTCTTAAAGACACAGTATAAACCAGTGTTTCTCAACCAGTGGTACGAGTACCCTTAGGGGTACTTGAGAGAAGTCTGGGGAGGTATGTCAACACAACTGAAATGTGGAGAAAACTGAATTTTTGTTTTAAGTTTTACAGTGCTTTAAAATTTCACCGCCCAGCTACGATTAAGTTGTTTAAACAAATGTGTTGCAATGGTAGGAAAAAAAAAAGTGTGTCTGAAAACTGTAGGTACTTTATAAAAAAGGGGGGGTACTTTATAAAAAAAAGGTTGAGAAACACTGATATAAATAATCAGTGCAATGAAACCACCAACATATGGGAGTAGATTTAGGAGTTGGCAACTGTGGGAGGGGGAGTGTTCAGCCAGATTATTTTATTGGCATTCTGACAACATTTCACATGCCATTTCAAGTTTGTTTCTCTCTCAAATTGAGTAGCACTTACTGAAAAATATAAATAAATTTCTCTGCTAAATCAAAGCAATTTGGGCCACAGATTTACATGCTAAGCAAGAATTATGCAAGACAACACAAGATTCCTGAAACCTTTATCCACATGACTCATGAAATACTGAATTTGAGCATGGTAATACCACTCTGCTGAGTTAGTGCTGCTCCCTTTTTGTACCAGTATTTTAAGGGTTTCTGAGAGTGACTCAGCTAGATTCAGGTTTGAACCACTCCTGGCTTAATCCCAAGATCACGTGACTTGAAGCAGAACTACGAATTTACTCAATGACCCACTATTTCACAGCTATAGAATAAATCTATCTTTCAGAATCCTTATAATATTTTGCCAGATTTATTTTTTTATTTATTTTAGCAGATGAATTTTGAAGAGGCACTAAGAGGATGACACAGCCCACAAACTGTGCTGCTTATTTTAGCAACATAACAAAGCAAACACATTTGGGCACACAACCAGAAGGCAACAAAAGCTATTAGTCACAACTAAAGCTCAGCATCTTATCAATGCAGCTTCTCTGTATGACAGTCACATGACTGGTGTTATCATTCCAGTTCATTACAGTCAAACATACTAATTGTTTGCAATTGTGCCAATAAAGTTTAAACACTTCTGAAATAATCAAAGTGTAATGCAATAGACCTGAATCTCCTTTTGTTTTATACTGATGAGCAGAGTGCTAAATAAACAAACTTACAGAGTATCCAGTGGTCAGATCAACATCAGACTATCTGTCAGCCATGCAACAGTTTCAATGATCTCAAGATGCTATGACTGGAGCCTTGGCTGCCAGACAGCACGAATGCTTACCTACCTCATAACTCCTGGCATTAGTATTAGCTGCCTTCTCCAGCTCAATGCGAGCTCTTTTGTGGCTCAGCTCCATCTGCATCTTCTCCCGTTCCACTTGCAGGAGCTGAGATTTGGAATGAATCTGCTCAGCTTGTTCCTCTAACTGATCAGTTTCCACGTGAAGATAGACACAAAAACACACAATCATCAGAACAGCAATGATACTTTTCATTTTTACAGTGCTCTCCAGATTTGGCTTTCAAATTATTTTACAAACTTTATATATTTAACCCTTCATGTCCTAGATGGGCGCAGGTAAGTATTGTCCTACCCATTTAGAAGATGGGAAAACTGAGGACCAAGAGTTAAATGACATGTCCAAGGCCACAAAGTGAATCAGTGACAGCCGAGAATAGACATGTGGGTGAACTTTGAGGTCCAAATTTCCCACACCAATCACTGGAGAAGTTTGCTTCTAGAATACACTTACAACACACAAAACTAAAAAAAGATTCTTATTTCAGATTTCTTTGGCCTTTTCAAAAAAGAAACAGGAGCTAGCCAAGGAACAGAGATCAGGCCCAATACCTACATCTGGGAAACTAAGTGTAGAGCAAAAGTACCAGGTCTGACATACATGTTACAACCAAATTTTATTTCTGAGAATGCATTGTGTGTGCAAAATTACTACCAGGACTCCTGTTAATTCCTTCAGTGCTGTGAGGATGCACAGAATACTTTGTCTTTATAACCAGGGCTCGACAAATAATGTAATCTACTTGCGCATGCACAGAGAGCAGAACCGCGCGGCTGGCGAGCCCTGTTTATAACACATTAATACTTCTTCCATGTTAAATCAGAATCCTAAATCAGAACATATTTTCACTGAAGACTTTACAACACAGAAAAAAAAAGACTAAGGACATTCAAATATTATAGTTCAGGGGTGGCCAACCTGTGGCTCCAGAGCCACATGCGGCTCTTCAAAAGTTAATATGTGGCTCCTTGCATAGGTACCAAATCCAGGACTGGAGCTACAGGTGCCAACTTTCCACTGGGCTGGAGGGTGCTCACTGTTCAACCCCCAGCTCTGCCCTAGGCGCTGTCCACCTAGGATCCTGCCACTTCCTACTCTCTCCACTGAGCCTGTCACACTCATGCTTCCCTCCTCCAGTGTCTCCCACTGAGAAAGAGCAGATCACAGTGGGCAGGAGGAAAAGGAGAAGGAGGGACTGACCAGTGGGTGGGATGTGCTGAGAGCGGTGTGGAGATATGATCAGGGCTGTGATATATAAGCAGCTCTTTGGCAATGTGCATTGGTAAATTCTGGCTCCTTCTCAGGTTTAGGCTGGTCACCCCTGTTATAGTCAGAATGTTGAGGGAGTGGAGAAAGGCATGTCAAGCATCCCAGGGGTTAAAGAAACCTCTGGGCTCAGCTAGCCCCACCTCACTTTACCTGCAAGGATGCTAGGCCTAGAAGGAGGAGAAAAGGAAGGAACATGGCTCAGTTTGGGGCTGACTAAAGTGAGGAGGCAGGAGCTTGGTTTGTGGGTCTGAGGGCATGAACCAGATCCTGTCCGTCCAGCAGCCATGGGAACAAGTAAGCCCCCACCCCTCTGGGAAAAGGGAGAACATATTGAGAAACTGAAACTGTAAGAAGAATTTGGACTCTTGAATCCATTTCCCAGACTGAAACAGGGAATGGCTTGGGAGTTCCTGGGCCAGAAACACAGTGGTAAGAGGGCCAGCTTCCCTCCCCCTTTTCTGCCCACCTACTCAGCAACCTAGCCAATAGGTTACTCAGTCCCCAGGGACCCAGCCACACAATTTTAAATGCAATGGAAATTTAAATAAAGATACCAAGGCCTTACTTTACACTCAGACACATAATTAGAGATCCATAACAAAGCTACAAAACTCAAAACTTGTGTAAGACATCTTGGACATTGCTAAAGTGTCCATCACTATAGCATCCATGAAGACTGGTTTAGTAAATTAAAATTTATGCTTCAAAGACTACAATTCTGGTCCAGATTGAGGTCCCCAATAGAATTAATTTGGTGATCTCAATTCAGTCCTCACAGTCAATATCATAAAAATGCCATGGATAGTTTAGCACACCTAACAGTATGTTTTCAAGAAAGAAATGGACAAGGCAGGAAAAACTGACCATCACCCCGAGCAAACCATCAGTTAAGCTCAGTCATGGCGGCAAGATGAAATCAAAATACAGCTGCCTAAGTTGACCTACAGATAAGTTAAAGGGAGAGAATTGAAGAAAACCAATTGAATATTGACCAGGACAAAGAGTCAGGCCCATAACTTATTTTTTTCTTAAATGAATGGGTTTAATAGTTTTATTTTGGGGGCAAATTGTCTCCATCATTGGCAATGTTGGGATAGCAATGTAAGAAAGGACAGCCTCTGTTTCTTAACTAAAAAAATTCCCATGCCTGATATCAAAATAAATCTAAATTCTTAACTCCAGGTGTGAATGAACCAGGGATGTCTCACCTGAACCCTCTGCTGGTACTGCATATGCAAGGTACTTGGAAGTGATCCTGGTGCAGCCAGACTAGATGCCCCCTCCACACGCTGTGAAATGAAGTTGTTGAGAGATCGCAAGGCAGAGAACACAGTTGTATTGTCCTCTGAGTTCTCCATGGTGAGCTCTCTGCTGTAAAACACAGACACACAAAGGCAAAAGTGAAACATCCAGGGCAATCTTATTCACCGCTATAACATCAGGTAGGCATACCCCCTTCCTCAAGTCATGCTGAAAAAGCATTTCTCAAATACAGCCACAAGAAGATTTTTTTTTAATTTATTTTGCATCCACAATAGCTTCTACAGCATAGAAGGGCAAAGCAGAGTATGGGGACAAAAGCAGCAGTTCCTCCTTGCAGCGCCCAATTGTTGCTCCTGGGCAGCAAAATGTGCCGCCTTCATGTTTACACTGGCACTGCCAGTAGGGAGCATTGTCCTGCACAGCACAACCTCCTCAGGGGCTCGAGGAAGTGTCTCTGGAGACACAGTGCATGCAGCTCTTAGTTTCTGGGATGCTCCTCCAGGTAGCTTTCCCACTGCTGCCCAGGAAACCTGGGACTCTGCACACAGTTGGTGAGTTCATGACCCACTTTCCCAGATGGCAGAAATAGAGAGACAGGTTTGCCAGGGCAGCCACCAGCAAGAGTTGGTGGCTGCACTCTGAGGTCACCAAAAATTTTATTGTGAAAACCCCTGCTCGAGTCCACATTCTTCTCATATACATTGGGCCCTGCCAAATTCATGGCTGTGAAAAACTGCAACACAGACTATGAAATTTGACTATCGTAGGGGTGTCATGATATTGCCACACTTACTTCTGCCCTGACTTCAGAGTAATGGCTGCTAGGCGGGCATCCAGTTCTAAAGGCAGTGTTGCCACTAGCAGCAGTTAAGAATTAAGAGTGGTACGGTATGGAGGTCACCACCATAAGAACATAAGAACGGACGTACTGGGTCAGACCAAAGGTCCATCTAGCCCAGTATCCTGTCTGCCAACAGTGACCAGCACCAGGTGCCCCAGAGAGGGTGAACCGAAGACAATGATCAAGCGATTTGTCTCCTGCCATCCCTCTCCAACCTCTGACAACAGAGGCCAAGGACACCATTTTATCCCCTGGCTAATAGCCTTTTATGGACCTATCCTCCATGAAATTATCTAGCTTCTCTTTAAACTCTATTATAGTCCTAGCCTTCACAGCCTCCTCTGGCAAGGAGTTCCACAGGTTGACTACACGCTGTGTGAAGAAGAACTTTCTTTTATTAGTTTTAAACCTGCTCCCCATTAATTTCATTTGGTGTCCTCTAGTTCTTCTATTTAGGGAACTAATAAATAACCTTTCTTTATCAGCCCTCTCCACACCACTCATGATTTTATAGACCTCTATCATATCCCCCCCTCAGTCTCCTCTTTTCTAAACTGAAAAGTCCCAGTCGCTTTAACCTCTCCTCATATTTCCCTCTAATACTTCACATCCCTCAGCAGAATGAATTTTGTTATGTGCACCAATCTGGAAGCGATGTGTCCACCCCTCCCCAGGACATGGCAGATTGGAGACCGGGTTAAATTGGGGCAGGGCTGTTCCCCTGAGGGATGAGGTTCTGTGCCCGAGGTGAAGGGGCAGGACCCTGTACAGATGCCCACGTGAGGCAGGACCCTGCCTTGCTGCCCCAGGTGGGTACAGAATTGGGTGGATGGGGCCCTGCGCTGCTCCCCGGGAGAAGAGGGGGAATTCCACAGGGGGCCGTGTCCTGCTGCCGCCCCAGGGGAGAGTCGCTGGGGGTGTTTGGTGAGGCTCAGCGCCAGCGAGGGGGACCCTACGGTGCTGCTGCTCCCCTGGGATCCCAGCTGGCTGCCCCGGCTGGGGAGGGTGAGGGAGGGCCCCTGCCGCGCTGCCCCAGAGGAAACAGGGGGAGGGGCGCTGCCTGAGGGGGGGTCAGGGTCAGAGCGCGGGACCCCGACGGGAGGGGGGGTGTCAGGGCGGGAAGACGCCTGTGCTGCCACGGAACTGCAGGGCGGAGCCGAGCCAATCCGATTACCGCCCGGGGCGCGAGACAGCGCGCGGGTCTCTCGCACTCACCCACAGCAGCCGGCTCCCCGCCTCCTGCTTGGATCTCCCTCCTCGTCCTGCCCCGAGATCTCACGAGAACTCGAACCCAGCTCCCGCGAGACGAACCTTCCCGCCCCGCCTCCTCCCCCCCGACGCACACACTTTACCGTAATATTCGGGTTATACGTGCGTCCAGGGGTAGCTCCGTGGTCCTCTTACCGCTAGGCGCATGCACAAAATTCCTATTTCCCCAGTGTGGTAGAGTAAAAACTGACGGTGCCATGGCAACGCTGTATCTGGGAGGATGATTTTGTGATTCAGACCCTGGAGTAGGAGTTGAGACACCGGGTTCCAGTTTCAACTCTGCCAGAGCAAGTCTGTCTGACCAGCTTGCTCAGGCTGTGGTTGTTCAGTATAGGGACGAGTCGACTGTCCCATAAGCAAATGCTTATCCAATAGTTGACAGGATAGTTGACTAGTTGATTCCTCCCCTTGCTGTCTCTATGAGGTAGAGGTAGCAAGGGGGAAAGAAGAGGAAGCACTTCAAAGCAGCAGTGCTGCTTGAAGCCGGGGGGCCAGACCCTGGACTCCATGCAGCACTGCCGCTTTGAAAAGCCACGTGCAATTGGGGGCCATCTGGAATGTCCCCAGGCTGCATGTGGCATTTTAAAGTGGCAACACCACATGGAGCCCGGGATCAGCTGGGGACTCCCCAGCTGACCCCCAGTTCTGTGTAGTGCTGCCACTTTGAAATGTCATGGGAAGCCCAGCATTGGGCTGCACGCAGATTTTCAAAGCAGCTAACTGACCCCACACTCTGCAGCGCTGCCGCTTTGCAACACTGCAGAGAGTCTGATACCCCGGCATCTGGATTTCTTTTTGGGCCTCTAAGCTCTAGTGCAATATAAATGTTTACAAAGTAGTGATTCTAATAGGAGACACATCCTTTACAGAAAGGACATGAGGGCACACTGCCAGTGACCATCCCTTCTCCAACAAGGCGGGAGGCACCATACTAGAAGTTATGTTGTCAACATACAGGAGAGTGAGTAACCCACCCAATCCATCCAGATCTTCACAACTCCTGACCATAGTGACAACAATGCCTACATGCCACTTATTGCACTGTGCAGTTTCCTCTATTGGATTGAACCAGGGCACTTGCAGATTTCCTTCACCTGCCACTTCTTCACAGACAGAAATATCAGGAGGGACTCCTAGGATGATACACACCACAGGCTGCACCTACGGGCAGCCAGACCTGATCACATATCCTCTACTAAGCTTACAAAGCAAAGTGCTACCATAGACTAACAACTTCAGTAGCAAATATAACTGTGTCTACATTGGATTTGAAGTCAGTGACCAGCATTACTGCTGTCAGGAGTAGGCAAATATGCTCAAGGTTCACTATGGGCAGTGGAAAACAAAAAAGCCTAAAGGGAATGAAGAACCTTTTTAAGCTCCTGGTGCTGTCCCTCTGTAAGCAGATAAAGAACTTATGAATTCTCACTTCCATTTTCTTTCCTCAGGCTTGGTATGCAATTGCACCTTTGCCCCTTCTGACTAGAACTGATGAATATAAAGGTGGGAAACTCAGCAATTCACTAAAGAATTAACTAAAAAAAAGAATTAAGGATGCCCACTGCTAGCTTGAGCCACACTAGAGAGAGGGTGTAGTTTAATCAAACCATGTGTTTAAGCAAAAGTCCAAAATACATTACAGTAACTAAAATATATACAGTGAACCCTCGTTTATCGCGGTAGATAGGTTCCAACCCCGACTGCGATAGCTGAAAATCCGCGAAGTAGGGACACCATATTTACGTATTTATTTAACATGTATATTCAGACTTTTCGTGTTTTATTTCTTTCTGTACTGAATTATATGTCATATGTAATGCAATGAACCATCAGTAAGAGCAGATATTACTAATTATTAATGGAATTAACGAAATATTTGGGGTCTTCATATATCGCGGCTATTTTCGAAATTTCCGGAAAATCCGCGATATATTTCTTTTATAATATATACATACGTAATGAAAAAAGTCCGCGAAGTCGTGAATCCGCGATGGTCGAACCGCGAAGTAGCGAGGGCTCACTGTACCTTGTAAACTTCCTTGCAATGCTAAACTGGGATTCCCAGTTATGCTTCCACTGTGTGTACAAGTGATTCTGACCAGCTCTCTCCTGATGCTGCATGAGAGAGTCTCCAGCACTTTGCTTTCGTTGGGGTTCAGTAGCCTAGAATTCTAATTTCAGAAAAAGTCCTGCTCAGCTCAGATAGAAGCATACCAGATGAAAACAGTCTTCGGGGAATTTAGCTACCAAGCTCAAACAGGGCTCAACTCAGCACATGCAAAAACTGATTTTTCAGAGGCTTGTTGAGCTGGTTAAATGTGGTTGGATTGTCATGCGGACAACAAAAGGCATATCCATGACAAGAAAGCTACTCTTCTTATAAGCTTCAAGACCTTGCTCCAAAGCCTGAGCACAACAGATCTTCTCAAAGAATAAGTCACCCAACATTTTTAAGACAGGCAAACATGCATTTTCCTAGCCTCTCTCTTAGAAACAGTTTAACCACTTCAGCCTAAGGCAGACAGTTGGCATGGAAATTTTCAGCCCATATAGTTATTTGGCACAATGTGCTAATAAATTGCACTTTTAGGAAAAATTCAGAAGTAAAACTGAATGATAGCTGCCTTCTCTTCAGTATCATGACAGCTGCGTTGCATTTAGTTCAAAGTATAACTATGATCACAAAGTAGAAATCTGAAACACACACATGTACACAAATCTTTAAGTAGTGTTTTATTTTTATTCCCATCCCCCACGGGCAGGTTTTATACATAAGAATGGCCATACTGGGTCAGACCAAAGGTCCACCTAGCCCAACATCCTCTCTGCTGACAGTGGCCAATGCCATGTGCCCCAAAGAGAATGAAAAGAACAGAATCGTCAAGTGATCCATTTCCTGTTGCCCATTTCAAGCTTCTGACAAACAGAGGCTACAGCACAGGCAGTTGGTGAAGGTAGGGCTGGGGGAGGCAAGCCCTCAGCCCCATCCCCAGCCTCGCACCTTCGGCTGAGGTCCTTCACATCCATGGGAGCCAAGCCACCTCCTCACAGCCCCACCATGGGGAAGCAGGGCAGCATGCTGTGCGCGCCTACCACCACCACAGGGAAGAAGACAGTGGGTGCGCACTGTTGTGTAAAACCTCCGCCCAAGCCGGTATAATGTGGATGTAAGACATGTAATTTTCTGTTATTGTAAGTCAGGTAACTTTGTTATTTTAAGTCGTCAGCTTCAGCCATTGCAAGTCCCAAAACTTTCTATTGTACGCCATGTAACTCTCAACTATTCTAAGTTATATCAGTTTCTATTGCAAGCCATGTAATTTTCAAGTAATGTTTCAAGTTCTGCAACCTCTTTGCAAGCTTTGTAACTTCCAGCTATTGCTTATATAATCTTTAAGCTCTGTAACATTCTATCCTGTGACAAGGGAGTGCATGGATATGTGTAAGTGGTAAGAGAGTGTAAATAGGGTTATGTCTGCACCTTTGTGGAGAGGAGCCATGAGGCTACAGACTTGAAGCCAGGGGCTAGGTGGGGTCTGATGTAGTCTTTGCTTGCACGTGAGAAAGATAAGAATGGAGGTGCAGCGAAGATGAGAAAAAGGAATTAATATGCATGAGGAAAATGAGGTCAGGTGGGCCTCTTGGGCTAAGTCTAGTCTTCAGGCTTCTTTCGGAACAAACTTTTCCGAAAGAGATCTGCCGAAAAACTTCTTCCAAAAGAGAGTGTCTACACATAAAAGTGCATCGAAAAAGCGATCTCCTCTTTAGACAGATACCATCCACACAGAATGGATGCTATCTCGCAGGTTAGCTGTGGTGATTACTATGGGTGGAATGGCCACCAAGGCACCTGTGCTTTTTCCTCTTTCTTCTTCTATTGAAATAACTCCCTTTTCCCCATCCACACACGCCTTTTTCTGAAAGAGCTCTTTCGGAAAAGGAGTTCTTCCTCGTGGAAAGAGGTTTACCAATGTCAGAAAAAACCCTCTGTTCTTTCGATTTTTCCCCCCAAAAGAACATGATTGCAATGTGAACATGACATTTTTTCAGAAAAACTCAGTAGTGTAGACATACCGTTGGGCTACGTCTATATTGTGCTCTCTTGCGCAAGAACATATGCAAATGAGGCGCGGCAATGAATATCACCACACCTCATTTGCATACTTAATGAACCGCCATTTTTGCGCAAGAGGATTTTGCAAAGGAGCAGTCTACACTGCTCCTTCTTGTGCAAAACCCCCCTCTTGCACAAGAGCCATTCTACCGCTTATTTTCAGGCAGAATGGCTCTTGTGCAAGAGTGGGGTTTTTTTGTGTTAAAAGGAGCTGTGTAGATGGCTCCTTTTTGCACAAAAGCCTTTTGTGCAAAAATGGAAGCTAATTAAGTATGCAAACGAGGCACAGCGATATTCACCACTTCACCTCATTTGCATATTTTCTTGCACAAGAAAAGGCAGTGTAGCCATAGTTGATGAAAGTGATATCTGCTCTAAACAGCAGGTGAAATACTGCTTTCAGTTACACCAATGTAAATCTAAAGTAAGTCAGCTGATTTCAAAAGGCCTGATTCTCATCTCCCTTACACTGGTTTTATATGTGTTATACCATTAACTTCAGTGGAATTATTCTGAACCCACACAGAAAACAGTAATATAAGTGCAGAATGTAGCCAATAATTTCTGCACCAGGAAAGGAGGACGCTGGGCACCTGGAAGCGGGGGGAAGACGGCCTGGAGGAGGATAAAATGGGCTGGGCGAGCAAGGGAAGGGGAGAGGAGGATGTAGAAGGAGAGGACCAGCAGGTAACTGAGGGCTTGGGGGAGCCAGGGTGCGGATAACCCGGGCCGGGCGCACCAGGGCAGAGAGAAGATTGAGCCCGCCGCCAGCAGGGTCGTTAGGCCCAGGGAGGGTCGCGGAGCCCGTGAGCAGGCAAGTTTAGGGGCAAACCCCCACCTGCTTCCACCGGGAGTTGAGCTCCTGGTGTTAGTGCCCGGGGCCGGGGTCCGGGAGT